TATACAGTAATGATATTCCTCTATAATTCGTTACCTTCTCTTCGTCTCCTTTCTTATATAGCGGCACAATTAAGGCCATGGCACACACCTTCCGTAACAGTAATCATAAGATGTACCGTAAGAATCAGCCAATTAGAATTAAGAGTTCAAAAGAATTCTTGCCTGTGATTGGCTGATTTTTATGGTACGTCTTATGGTTACTGTTACGGAAGATGTGTGCCATGGCCTTTATACTTTCCTTCCAATCTTGTGGCATTATACCTTCTTTCCACACTTTCTGCAATAAGCACGCTAACTTCGATTCCTCTCCTGCATATATCCAAGCCTTCATTGGTATCCCGTCAATACCCGCTTCTTTCTCTTCTTTTTTTTCAGCGCCCTACTTATCTCCTCAACCTTTAATTCCTCTTCTTCTATCTCCGTTTGTATCGTTATCTAACTTGTTATTTATTCTGTAGTATACTCTTTCTCCTTAGTACCCTCCAAGAGTTCCTTGAAATGTTTTCTCCATTCTCTTTCATCTTTCCTTATGTTATTCTCTTTCTATATCCTTCTACCTCTCTTCTTATTTATATACTTTCACATGTCCTCCTCCTTCTTTCCTTTTTTCTTTTTGCTTCTTTTCCAATAATATTCTGAACTTCCTTCTCTTTTCCCAGTATTTTTCTTTCGTTTCCTCATCTTTTTTTTCCATCTCCTACACACTCTTTACTTGTGGGAAGTTTACTACAAATGGCAATAGTTACATGAATGAGCAGCGAAAAAAAATAAAAAACTCGTGCACTAACTAAGCAATTACGATCGTTGAGCTCGTTACGCGTTCCATATGGTCGAGCGAATATTCACTTACTCAACGATCTTTAGTAATTAATTTCTTCTTAATTATTCCGAAAATTACAAAATTACAGGACTTTTCGACTTAATTTACACATTCTTCATTCACACACGAGCGTTGTCACAAAAGTTATCGGATCCTATAATATATTTCAAATACCTCATAATCATGATGACCAACACACTTGAGGACAAGATCCAAAATTTGTATAGCGTAATGCTGCTTTCCATTTTCACTACCTGTCACCATAATATCTAGAAATGTCTCAGCCAGTTCCGTAAATATTCGACAATAATTTATAGACCTGTAATATATTTAATAACTAGGTTTGTGCTACAAACATATTTAGGTAAATTAAATAATTTACTTTTCCATGTCCTCATACGCAACAGATAAGTGATATGGTTGTTCTAAATTCATTACACTTGTGAAAAGACACAATTGTAATTGTTGCAACTGCACGATTATTTCATTATCACTATCACGATTAGTATTACTATCTTCTCCTAACGCTTGCAAAATTACGCAGATACAATCGGTAGCCGTTTCGTGCAGTTGTGAAACAGACTGGTTGCTGAGTACCTGAAAAATAAAATTATTATATAATAAAAAGACGAATAGAAAACAATTAGTTTTTCCGAAAATATTTTATCAGTTTCAAAACTTACTTCCAAGGCATACATAAATACCTCGCTCGAGGGTACAGATTTAAGCGGTATTGCATGAACAGTTATCCAGCTGGTAAAACATCGTAAAATAGTAACTTGGATTTGTAAATTATCACCGCTGTTTTTTAGGCACATTTTCTGCAAATACACCATACATGAAATACCAATGTTAAAATAAAATGTGTGCGTGTGTGTGTACGCGCGTGTATATATATATATATATATATATATAAGTATTTATAAATATAAACTAATTTTATATGTATCAAAATATACATGTGACTAAAATAAGATAATAAATTTCAGAGCCGAGCTTCCCACACTAAAATATGAAAAAAAGTTCATGTAAACATATGTTCGCAAATCCACTGTTACTGAGATATAGCTCAAATTGTTTAAGTATTATGGCCCCTATAATTATCCGATCTAACTTCTAATTTTTATCTGTGGATATCAGAGTTACCCCATAAAAATAATTCGTTATCGGTACCATTCTTTTTCCCCAAAAGTAACTCGTTATCGTTATTCGTTATTGACTTAATTAAAAAAAAAAACTAATTTATCCACAACCATGGATATTATACATACCAGAAATTCTGTCACGGTATCTGCATTTGTATTAAGTTCATGCAGTATATGTTGCCTATGATTAGCGCCCAGCCTATACAAAAATAAAATTAATGTTTTGTCATTTTATGATATCACATTAAGCAAGATGTTGTACTATACCTAAGTGATCTCGAATTTACTTCTTCTGGAAGTACCGTCATTATTTCAAGCAATGGCCAAAGGTTTACAGCGTTTCCTCCAAACCTATTAATTAAATCTACAACTGGTTTCTGCCAAGAAGACATTTGTAAGGCCAAATCTGCTAAAGCTAAGCATAACTGTAAGCATGAAGATTTAACAACATTAATAAAGATTAGAATAATCTATAGAATAAGTATAGAATTACAAAAATCTTTTAAACATATAAAAGTAGTTTTCATGAAAGAATATATATAAATACCTGAGTAACAATGGCAGAATTAGTATGTTCATTGATTTGTGATATATGTTCTATTAACGAATCTCGTAATGAAGTATGAGCTTCTTGCGGTAACTCATGGAAGGAGAGCTGGATCTTGGTACGCATTGTTTGTGCAGCAAAATAACAGGATTCTATATTTCGTTTTTGATGTAACATTTCATCAGCTATTTTCCATGCAAATACCTATAAACACATACACATAAATAAACATAAAAGTAATGATTTCTCTATATAATAGTTTAAAATGACAAAAAATAATTTGTTCTACCAACACAAAGAATTGTTGTCTATTATAATTACTAATCAAATAAATGACAAAAAACATGTATCTATATATATATATATATTATATACAAGTAATACATCAAATCTTATATAAAAGATGCAAGTAAAAAGTGCAACATTATTGGTTTTACATCTAATTTTTGCTTTTTTTCGTAACAGTGGCCCTATAATGAATCGGTAGCCGATAGTCTTAGAAGTTGGCTGCTGTCCAACTCTGCCGATTTACCGATTTCAATCAATCCCGACTCACCGATTATTCTTGAGACTCTCTTCTGACAAACCAATTACAGACTACCGACTCATTGCAGAACCGGCATGATACGTAAAAGTAATTCTTGTAACAGTGATAATCCTCCCTTTTAAGGTTAGAAAGCAGATTTCCGTATTTTTTATTCAGGACGATATTAACACAACTATATCGAGAAATATGTTTTTATCTGATGTAACAACGCGAATGTTAAATTTAGGAGAGAGCTTTAAACTTAACGATATTTAAAGTGATGGTATGCTTACCGATCTTTGCAATTCTCCCAACCATAATGACGCTTTTCCTGGTTCGGTCGGATTTGTATTATTATATAAAGAAAATACGGCCTGGTAAACGGTCTCCAGGTTCGGCGGCGAATCCATGTTTCAGAGAATATTTGGGTACCGCGAAATACCCATGCAGTCAGATCCTGGCTGACAAACGGATGCGCTCGTGCGAGGCCGAACCCGCCGAAACGCAGCCGAACGTTTCGCTTTGATTGGCTTTGATCCAAGGACTTAACCTCCAACGAGTAACAGACGATGTCGGATATATTTTATACACCGCAAAACCACCATAGTAGATACATTCTATTTAACTGTCATACCGCGTCATACTTCATACATTAGAAATGCATAAGTCACATGCACGAAATATAAATTACGAAATGTAGAGTATATAGAAGAAGGAAGAAGGGGCGGAAATTAAAAAAAAGTACCGAAAGTGCAGCCAAAAAGAATCGGTACATACGTATGTACATACATACATACTTTATCAAGCTCAAGTCAGAAACGTAGGGTGCGTTTCCATTGAGCGCTTCAGCATCAAGAGATCAGCTGACACCGTGGCTACGTTTACACCGTGCATTTAGGCCGCGGCCTATACAATAGATGTCCTTGTTTATCCTGAAGGTTAAACAAAGACACCTATCGTATAGATCGCGGCCTAAATGCACGGTGTAAACGTAGCCCGTGATTTCCATTTACTTTATCGGCTTGTCCAAAAGAGAGGCTATTTTTTACTTTTATTATAATATAGATAATTATTTATCATCATATATATTATCAACAAATAATTGATATTGTAATTTCAATCTGTTTAGAATCTGTTTTGAACTCTGTTTATCAGCACTTTTATCACTTACTCATTTGTCATTTAAAAAATTGAATTTATTTATATTTAAACAATTATTGCTATTATTTTTAAAATTATTTTTTTATTTTTATTTTATTCTGATGTATATAATAAAGTTTATCCTTATAAATGTATACATAAAAATCAAGAAATTATTTTTTATTCACATTATATTTTGCACAAGATTTTATAGCATAAAATTTATTATTATCCATCAACACATTTAATGTAATTCATTAATATAAGTAATAATAAAAACTTACGGCTTTTATAGCTTCATCTATTTTTTTGGAGGTATTCATCTTTGTGGATTATATTCTTCTAAATTTCTAAGTAAAGTCAATATTTTTGTTATTAAATAATATTTTAATTGACGAATATCAATCGTCAAGTTTGATTGTGACCTATTTTGACGCTAAAAATGAGCGTCAAGCATTAACATGAAAAGGCACCTAAAAGGCCATCGCACGTACAAAAATTTTAGTCGTAATCGTAATGCTGGATTCACCCTGCATCC